TAGCCTCGTCCCTCGAGAACAATGCCAAGACCTGGGGAACCCTCCCCCGCAGAGCCGATCCGGGGTCGGACTCGAACGGAACCAGATCATGGGGTCAGGTTCGACGCCATGTCGTATGTTACCGGGTAGAGCTTATCGAGCCTAGATTCTACTTGCTCGAGGAAACATTCCTCCTTGAATATGTCTGTTGGTTGGCGACTATGTTAGATCATGGCTGTCATACAGCATAAATAGACCCGCGAAGCCCGGGTGAACAAGTCATCATTCTCACAGCCATCTTCATCTATACTGGCCTTTGAATGTCCAACAAGATGGACTCCGAGTCTCTGCCCCCGCGGGCCCAGACCGTGGAAGAGATCCTGGCCTCAGACAACCACTCCGCCCTCTCCTCCCTCACTCCATCCCTCATCCGCCTCTACAGTATCCTCGCCCCAGCCTGCCTCGTCGTCTGCGCAACAAACGGCTACGACGGCTCCGTCCTGACGGGCCTCCAAGGCGTCGCCGCCTGGAACCGCGAATTCGGAAGTCCCAAAGGCGCCCTTCTCGGCTTCACCAGCGCGGCCTACCCCCTCGGCGCAATCATTTCCACCCCCTTTTCCGCCTTCGTCTCGGACCGCTTCGGACGGAAATGGTCCATCCTCACGGGGAGCAGCATCATGATTATCGGCGTGCTGATCCAGTGCCTCAGCCATTCCATCGGACAATTCATCGGCGGCCGCATCGTCGTCGGCTTCGGCATCACCATGGCCCTCGCCGCGGCGCCGGTGCTCATCTCGGAGCTCGCGCATCCAAGGCACCGCGTGTTATTCGGCTCGCTCTATAATACCAGCTTCTACCTCGGCGCCCTCACGGCGGGGTGGGTGACGTTTGGGAGCTACCGCATCGCCGGTTCGTGGGCGTGGCGGCTTCCTACAATGTTGCAGGCGCTCCCGGCGGTCATCCAGATGGTTTTCGTCTGGTTCCTGGACGAGTCTCCTCGTTGGCTTTGTTACAAGGACCGAGATGACGAGGCATTCAGCATCCTTGTGAAGCATCACGGGGGTGGGGACCCGTCCGACCCGCTGGTCGTTGCAGAGTTTCACGAGATGAAGGTGGCTTTGCAGCTGGAGAAGCAGGTCAAGGATGTAGGACCAAAGCTGTTCTTCAAGACACCAGCCAACAGGAAGAGACTCTTAATTCTCCTTACTCTCGCCGTGTTCGGCCAGTGGAGTGGTAACGGTTTGGTGTCATACTACTTGACAAAGATATTCACCAGCATCGGAATCACTAGCCAACGCGAGCAGACCATGCTCAACGGAGTCATCAGCACCGTGAACTACGCCACGGCTCTGTTTGCGGCAGCGCTTTCAACTAAGATCGGCCGCCGGTGGATGTTTGTCGGAGGCGGCATTGCTATGTGGCTCACCTTTTCGTCGCTGACGGCCAGTATCGCGGTGTACAACACAACGGGCACTACAGCTGCTAGCCAGGCTGCGCTTGCCTTCATCTTTATCTTCTACGCCGCCTTCAATATTTGTCTCAACCCCTTGCTCTTCCTCTACCCCACGGAGATTCTTCCGTTTAGGCTTCGGGCTATGGGTCTTAGTATCCTCGTCTTTGCTAACAAGGCCGCGTCGTTCTTCAATCAGTTTGTCAATCCGATCGGTATGGACTCTCTGGGTTGGAAGTACTACTTGGTATATGTGGTGTGGCTTGTGATTGAAGTGGCCGTCTTTTACTTCTTGTACCCTGAGACCAGAGGCCACAGCCTAGAACGCATGCAGGAGGTATTTGGGGAAGAGGTGAAGGATGATGGGCTGGACGAGAAGGGCTCGGTAGCCAAGGATATGAGGGTCATAGAACACAGGGAATGAATGAAGTCGTAGCAGCCAACGACAACCCGACAAACATCATGCCGGTTTCTGTACATGTATACTCGTGATGATATGTGATATCCAATTCTCAGTATTTCAGGTACTTTACTTGGTTCTCTGTACTATAGCACACTTCATCCAGGCCAAGCACTGAATCTAAGTCAACTGAAGGGGAGAGAGGGCGATGACAGGCCTCGAAGGGGTGATTGGGAATGATGGTTATTTCTATGCAAGGCACTCATTCCTCTCATACCTGCGGGTATCAAGGTCAAGGCTGATCATTATCGTCTTGGATTTGGCGATGCCGGCGCTGAGGTGCAAAACCTGGTCAAATATTTTGCCATCATAACGGCCAGTCAACCGCAAGACAAAACGCGAAGTTGCATGCCACTCGAGCACCCATCTCAAAATAAGCTCAGAGCAAACCCAAACATTCAGAATAAGAGCCATCCTTGTAATAATCAATGCCAAAAAACGCAAAATGAAAGGGACGAGACTCGAACTCGCGCGGGTTGCCCCACCAGGAAACAAATGTTAAGCTGACCTTAACCTGGCGCCATAACCAACTCGGCCACCCTTCCGTGACGATGCTCGCTCCGAGGAAGGTCCTCGATGCGATTGCGGATGCCGGTGATAGCCGGGAAAGTTATTGATATTCCGGGTTATGATTGAGTGGGAGTTTTGTGTGGGGGTGGGCAGGCTCCGTCAGGGCTATGAAGCCGGGTTGAGAAATGATCCACCGGCGGGCGGAGGGGACCATGTGAACATGAAATGCGAAAAGTGTATTCCGTAGGAGATGACACTCCCGAGACGATGGCGTTGACGCGGCGGCTCCGGAAGCGCGCGGGAAGAAGCTTCGGCATCCCGTCGAGGCCCGCGGCCGTCCTGGGAAGAACCTGGGCGCGACGTCGCGGTGCGAAAGGGCTACGTTCATGCCAGCGGGCGGCCTCTGTAGTACATTCTGTGTATCGCGAACGCGGCAGGCTGTGTGAGAATGCGCCACCATCACCTGTTGGATATCGCGATATCCTCACGTACATGTTGAACTGTTGGCTCATCTAGAGATGCAGTCAATGACGTCGAATAAAGTTCCCAACAGCGTTTGGTTGACGAACAAAGCCGTTGGTCCGTTGCGGCTGAGACCCGACGGATGGGGGATACTTTCCGCCAGTCTGCCCGCCAAACCGCAGCCGGTTCACAACGTGCCAAATGCACAAATTAGGGGAAATGTCTTGGCACAAAACATGCAAAAGTCGAAACGCTGTTGGTATGTATGCGCAAGTGAGGCATTGGAGGAATGCACACACGACGTAAAGCCCTTGTTCATCAGCTGGTCATCACAACTCCAGGAAGCACCTTACGTGGTATAATGCTCATCGTGCCGCTATCCGGCATAAACAATGCTACGGAGTGCAATTGCATCACGAGAACAAGGCCCGCAGAAACGTCAAAAGTCTCGTCCCGCCGCGCCCCGAAATACAGAGTTGCCAAAAATACCCGAACGAGATTGACTATTTAAGAGTCTGGGAGGAAACCAATATTGGCTGGCAGAGACCAAGTTAGCAACTGGCAAATCGTACAGTATGCACTAGGCACGCAAACCCGGCCCTGCATCTTGAATTCTTGGATGATCACCAACAAGGTCAGGGCATGCCCGTGGCCGCCGTAATGCACTGCCACTCGCCTTTCCAACACTATTGAGTATTGACTCTTTTAGCGAGAAAAGCCAAGTTTTTCTCTCTTCTTCATCGAATCGATCCTTCGTCTCTTTCTTTATTGTTTCTTTTCGTCTGGTCTCATTTGATCTGATCTGACCAGTGCCAAAGTAAACAAATCAGACATTTTTCTGAACGAATGGGATGAACATGCATAAACCAGAATAAACAACGGACGCGCGTTCTCCACTCTCAGCTCACCCCCCTTCCAAGATTTTTTTTCCTCACCTTCTTCCTGATCCGGTCGGTAACCTGTGCCGTTGAACTCTGTTTGCCCGTCTTGCGTCTAGCGCCAGGTACAGCAACCTCATGATTCGTCGCGTACCTGGATTCGCTCCGCTGACGAGTCTGCATTGGAGAGATCGTTTGTGTCCAGACGGAGGTAACACGATCGGGGTTTCCAGAAGTCTTTGCCTCCGTATGAAATCGCGCACAACTACCAGTGAGCGAATGAGTTCACACACATCCCAAGCCTGCCGAACAACGGCGTCCGACGGCGCGACACCGAACACGAAGCCGTCTCTTCCCGTCACCAGTTTTCCAGATCATGTTGCGAGTTCTCTTACTCGGGTCCAAGCTCTAAATTTAGCTTGCCACTGCGCCTGGATATGTGGGAATGCGTTTCCTCTTTCGTCCACTCTCCCAATACCCACTCTCTACCGTGCATCAGTGTGAGCTCGTATGAATACACAGTCCTCTTTCTCTCGAGTCTCGAATCTCTCTCTCTCTTCCAGAGTTTCTGACTTCTCCAGTCTCCTCTCGCTTCCTCAGCGGGGACGTGACATCCCCTGACCAGGAGAAGGAAATATGAACCAAAGAGAGAAACGGAGCCCGTTCGACGGTCCAGACCTCGTATGCCTGCCAACAACCCAGGTGCCTATACCAAGTGCGGCCTCCTCGAGGGTGGGGATTGATCAGCACCATCTCATTTCCCGACGTCTGGGGGGTGGGATGCCAAATGGGTGGATGGGAGGGAGGCTCCTCTTGGCCGGCTTGACTGCCACCGCGCTTGGCCCAATTGCATCGTAAATCAAGGCCGGGCAATGGGTGTGCGGCCCGCAGCACACCTCTACCTTGAGGCTAACCGAACCGATTCGTTCATTTGCTCGGGAGGAACAGCTCGAGCCCTGTATGACGCGATTAGACTGCTGAATACTCACTGCTATGAATCTTCACACACTGAACAGTGGGGAGTACTTTGAGTATGTCACATAGAAAGATATTCAAGTGTCACAAAGTCACCGGGCATTTGAAATGATGATGAGTGTATGGATTAATCACATTTTTTCTCCATCAGTCTATCCTCGATCTATCCATGATTATGATACCGAAAAAAACACATGTCCAGAAGGGGGAATCAAAAGACACCTTGCCAATGCGCTAGAAAAATTTGACCACAAGACGAGTGAGTGCACTACTCTCCTCGCGCCTCTTAGTAGAGGAGGGCGAAAGCGCCGGCAACGACGGCCAGAGCACCGGTGGTGAAGGCCTGGAGGCCGGCGGCGCCAGAGCCAGCAACCGCGGAGGGCGTGCTGCTGGCGCTGGATCCAGAGCCGGATCCGCTGCCGGAGGAGCCGGAACCGGAGGTGGCAGAGGGAGCGGCAGTGGAGACGGTCGAGTTAGAACCGCTGCCAGAGCCGCTTCCAGAGCCGGAGCCGGAGCCGGAGCCGCCGCTGGTGCTGTTGCCGGAGCCAGAGCTGGCGCCAGAGGAAGAGCTGGGCTTAGCGGTGGCAGTACCGGAGGCAGAGGCGGTCTTGGTGCTGGAGGGAGTGTCGAAGGTGGTGGGGCAGGTGAGGTTGAACAGAGGGGTGGTGGACAGGTCCTTGGTGATGGCGAACTTCATGGAGTTGTCGGGGTTGGAGTCGCGAAGGTTGTACCAGAAGGTGGGGACCTTGTTGAAGAGCTTGCGGCAACCGACCTCCTGCCAGTACTTCTGAGCGTTCTTGGCGCTGGGAACGGCCTGGTCCCAAGTCTCGCCGGTGACGGGCCAGCCGGTCTCGGTGACCCAGACGGGCTTGCCGCCAGCGGTGGCGACGGTGGCATCGTAGGCCTTGTCGAAGAGGGAACCAGCGTTGTCGATGGTGTTGCCCTTGTCGTTCTCGTAGTAGGGGTACTCGTCAACACCAACCCAGTCAACGGCGTCGAGGACGGGCTTGTTGGTGGAGTTTCCCCAGACATCCCAGGTGTCGACGTGGCCGATGGAGACCTTGGACAGAGGGGTGTCCTTGAAGGCGGTCTTGAAGTCGTTGATGAAGCCGACGAGGGTCTTGGGGTCCGCACCGACACCAGACTTGTTCTTGACACCGGTGACGGAGTTGCGGTACAAGTCCTCGGAACCGATGGAGGCACCGATGATGAGGTCGGTGAGCTTGGTGCCGTACTTGGTGACGGCGGTCTTCAGGGCATTGATCTCCTTGTCAATGTTGTCGGTGCCGGAGGTCCAGATACCGAGAAGGATGTAGGTCTTGGTCTCGATGGCAGCCTCGAAAGCCTCAATGGGGTCCTGGGTGGAGTAGGCCTGGATGTTGGTGTAGAGGCGGACGGCGTTGAAGTCGCCGGGAGCACCCTCGAGGCCCTGGGCAGTCTTGAACTCGGCCTCGAAGTCGGCCTTGAACTTGGCGGAGCGGTCGGCCTTGGTGGCACCAGAGTTGAAGCCGAGGTAGTTCTGAGCCTCGACGGTGGCCGCCAGGGCAGTGAGGGCAGCGAGAGAGATGGAGGCCTTCATTTTGATTGGATTAATGTGTTAAGAAACGGTCGAAATAATAAAATCGTGGAGCAGAGGAAAAGGGTCCCAGGGTGGTAATTAAGGGCGGACTGGGAAAGACCTTTTTTTTTGGCGTTGTTCCGAGACTCTTTGGCTGTGACTATAATAAACAAAAGAGTGTAGTGAGTTGGTGGTTGTCGTGGACCAAAAAGAATGACTGGGAAGAGTGAAAGAGTGAACAGGTCCAAAGGAGGAATCGACAACGGGTGGGACAAAGATGTCTATAAAACACAAAAGGAGGGAAGACGGGGGTCACAGTCAAAAGAGGAGTGGAGTGAAGGAGGAGAGAGAAGAAAAGAGTGGAGGAAAACAATGACGGTCGTATTGGCACGTCACGAAATTAAGGAGAGCCCGGGGGTACGGGGTACTTGGGTACCTCACTTGCATATGTACATCACGTGAGGGCACACCACACCGCACACCTACGCAGTAAGTCCCAGGGGAGACTCGAAGACCTGACCTTCAGGGCGGTGGCTCCACCGAGGTGTCCAAGTTTGTTTTCCGGGGCTGAATCGATACGTGGATACCTGGCAATCGAGGCCTGGCAAAGTTGGAACCTGAGGTGGCATTGGATGGGGGGAAAAAACCAGGCACCACCAGGCATGAGTAGGTACATCGGGTAGGTACCTGGCATTAGCAGCCAGCCCGCTGGGGCCGCCTCCACTTGTGCTGCCACTTGCGCTGCCACTTGTGCTGGAAGGCACCTGAACTTCCTCAATCCTCAAGGACCTGAAGATCTCTCAGCCAATGCATGTACCTGAAGCGCCCCCATTGGACGAACCAACGCTTTGGCTGACGCAGGGGGAACTTGGTGGAAAAGAACGGACCATGCATTGACACGGGATTGCTCCTTCCCCAATGTCGTCCCATCATCTCTGCATCTCTGCATCTTTCGCTGTCCATCAGCCCGTATAACGTACCTCCACTGACGGATATTCAATATTCATTCTGTGCGCTGTGCCTGGACTCCTGCCCATTGTCACACCTGCATGCATGACGCTGTTCACTCAACATTCTCTCTTGACTATTCTCATATCTACACTGGTAACTGCATCGATCCCTTAGTGACGCCAGACAGCCGAAGCCTGGACCGCCAATGGACACGGCCACGCAGTAGATACGCACAAATAGAACACAACCCAACGCCACTACGCGATCGCCAACATTCCTCTCTCGTGTGAGCTGCGTCAGTCTTTGCCAGGACCCTACCCGCTTGCCCGATCATGGGTGAGACATTCGGAATCAAACCAGCTCATGTCTTGGGTCGGTGAAATGTTCCAAGAAGAAACAAATCTAACAGCTGAATCCGCCACCCCGTCCGCCATGGCGCCATGCGCGCTTAGCTAATCGCCACATCATGCACGCCTTAAGGAGAGATATGCAAGGATATGCAAGCATCCTGCACAACTTCAACGACCATGTTGAATGATGTGTACGTAGTAATAGCATGTGAATGTTCTCTATAACGGCTGTTTCCTATGCGCTATGTCGAGCATACCCGGGGTCTATGCATGATGGCTTCTTTCAGGTCGAACTCCAGAGGCCAAGCTCCCGGCCCAAGACATGGTCGCAGCCCTCAAGCATCTACTTGCATCTTGAAGTCGAGGATTCTTCAAGTCTCGAAAAGGCCAACCGGACCATCTTCCCCCTCCAACCACCTCTCCATACTCTGGTACATCTTACTGCAAGCCCTCTCGTCTTCTCCCGTGATAAGCTTGGCATCAATCTCGTACCCCAAAGTACTCTGCGCAGCTCCGAGGTATCTGTATCCCGCAGGATACCTAGCCAGCACCTCGTCCGCGAAGACTGGTGCCCTGGCCCCATCCACGGGTACAATCTTATCCTTTTCATATATAAGTTTGACGTACGCAGCTTTCCAGTGTTTCTCATCCCTCTCGATGCCATCACCTCTCTCTCCCTTCGTCTTCTCATAGAAAAACAGGAACCGACAGTCACAGTCGACGTCGTACTCGTAGCCGTCGTGGTGCTTGAAGCGTTGGGTAATGGTGGCCTTCATCTTGCCCACGGCGCGGCCCGTATCTGGTTTCAGCTCAACAAGAGTGCCGCATTCACGGTGCATGATGGAGGCCCCTGACGACTTGCCCGCGATGGACATGCGAATGAAGTCGTCAATGGGCTGTGCGCCGCTCCAAGCTGTGACATGCCATATGGCGTTAGCTTCAGGGGCAAGCAAGATACTTCTGAGAGTAGAAGCATCGTGGGAAGGGCCTTAGTGATTCAACGCACTGGTCCAAACGTAGGCATCCTTGGTGAAGAGGGAGCGGTAGTTGGCCCATTCGCTTGCATCGCGGTAGACAGGCCAGCCTTTGCAGAGCTCAGAAACGGCGAGACGGTCGAGGAGTTCGGTGGAGTGACCTCCGATGCGGGAGAAATGGCGGGTATGTAGGTCTGTCATTGTTTGAGAGCTGATGTGATGAAACGATGCTTCAATAGGGGTCTGAATCTCTGCAAAGCCGTGGTGAAGTCGTGGCTGAGGTCGGGGTGACTATCGTAGTACGGCAAAATGCGAGTGTTATGATTGAGACGAGGAGAATTCACATGTCCGCTCTGGGTACGTAGGCAGGTAGATGTAACAGACCTTCCCAATTCAAATGCTAGTCCCTACTTCAATGTAACAGATTTGCTTCCCCTATTCATACAGGCAAATCAGAGCATCGTCACACTTCCGAGGTCCGTACCTCCACCAGCAGAGCAGCTACAAACGTGAAACCACGTGGAAACGAATCGTCAGAACTAGCAAAATTCTCTGAATCAAAAAAGTCAACAGAAGCATATACAAAATGTTGAAAAAACAAAAAAACGAACAGACCGGGGGGTCTGTTCAACGCTCTTTGCCTGCAAGGGGCTTCGAACAAGAGCGCTCGCCAGGTTTCACGGAGGACCTGCTAGCACGAGTATATTTTTACCCTGTCCGCCACCCAATTGAGCCACGCACTCAATGACGTGTGGGTGTCCGCTGATGGGAGGATCAGTGGCTCTTTCGAATAAGTAAGGTAGGAGGTGTCGGCTTGCGGGAAGGAGAGGACGGGAAGGAGAGGACGGGAAGGAGAGGACCTTGGTGCCTTCCTCGTAGATGTCTAACCTTACCGGGACGGGAAAGCACCTTGGGCAGTCCCGGGCACAAATTCACGAGAGCTTCGCGGAGAAAGAAGCAAGACCTTGAGGGCCAGGGAAGGTTCCAGAGACGGCAACGGTCTTTGATTCTACTCCATCTACCTCGCCAAGACAGTCCTTCCTGTTATCTATCCCATATCAATTACCTTTGATATCCAGCAACTCCAAGCTCTCTCAGACAAATGCAAGAATGAGATTACTGGCGACGCTCTCAAGTCCACTTCTTCCATGGAACATTCAGAAAGATGAGGACCACCAGCAGAACAACCAGCAGAACCAGGGGATACTTACACCACTGGACAGATACCGCACGACCACCCCCATGACAAACACACGTCTTCACATCCAGTGTTCCCTTCCGCTGGAGTCTCACGCGCTTTAACCCACGACTCACACTACCATCACTACCGCTCCCACTCTCACTCTCATCCTCCCCATCAGTCCCACGAACCGGCCTATACACCTCACCCTTCCACCATCGCAGCGGCGGCGAAACAGGCAACCCAGGAGAATACATAATCCTCCTCAACTTCGACACCCCTCCTCTTCTACCAACAGCAATCGCAGACCCAGCCCGCCCAGCCACAGGTGTACTGGCAGGCGTCCTCGGAATGCCCACAGTACGAGGACTAACACTGGTACCAGGCGTCACCGCGCCGGGGCTATCTTTCGTTCGCTCCAGTTCGGCAACCCCCCAATATGTTGATGCTGGCGAGTCCTCCGTCGAGGGGTACGGCGACTTGTTTCCCCAATCCTGATCCGTTCCACAACCCCGATACGCTGTTTCCGAGAACGATCCATCGGGAGTACGCTCTAGAACGGTATCCCATAACGTTTTACATGTCGACACTGTCGCGGATGGAGGGCTCACGGGAAACGTCGGGGTATCGGCGGAGTCCGGGGACGCTATTGTCGAAGGGGTCGGGGGAACCGGGTGGTCTGGCGTCCAGGGCGCGGGGCTGCGGCCGGCGAGGAGAGGACTGTTTGCGTGGCGGCGGATGCGAATTGGGTTTGGGGCGCGGCGGCGGCGGGGGGAGGAGACGTACATTACGGTGCTGGTAGACGGTTTGAGGGACTGATGAGGAGGTCTCAGGAGATTTAGGCTGGACTCAGGGCTGGGAACTGGGAGAAGAAGCTGACTGGAAAGAATGAAGAGAGGAAATGTGAGTGATTTGAAGATGCTCGAGATGAGTAGGAAGACTCTTCATGGGACATTACTTATATAACATGCCACATTACAAGCTTCGACTGCGGGGGAGCGCACAAGGAAAAAGGGACACTTACAATGATTGTTTGTAGTTTCCTGATCCGGTACGATACCATCATCAGTCAAAGAAGCTCGGCCGGGTCGTTTGTCTCAGGTGCTAAATCTGTAGAAGTGAGGGGCTTGGTTGTTGCTCAAGGTCTTGGGGCATGAAACGAAAGTCTTCCATCAACCATGCCCCAACTGAACATGGAAATTGACAGTTGCTGGATATTAATTCATGCTTCGCAATTATGTGCTACCGCCGTCAGTCTCGAACTCATGGCTGGGCTGGGCTGGGCTACGACATGTGTCGTGAAGAGACGTATTGCCTTTCAAGTATTGATGAAATAGTAGTGCAGTATACGAGCGACCTATGAGGTCTACCAAGCTTCCCGAATGTTATTATACATACGTCTTATGTACATCAACATGCTGCTGCAACATGTCCGAACCAAACCCAAACATGACAAACACCATAAAGCACTACTCATGTTGCATTCTAAAGCTCAGCATAACCTGAAGGACCCATCTCTTCGAGCAGCTGTGGCACGGTCTTCCGAACCAGATCCCAAGCCCAAAGCTCCGTGTTATTGAACGGCATCTTCCACTCACCCAGCACGAAGTCCGAGCACAAGGGGCACTTCAGCTCCCGCGGGTCGAATTTCGATCTGCGGCGATGGGATTTCATCCAGCAGTTCTTCCCCACCACGTGGTTCTCCGAGGGGCATTTAACGCGCACAGCTGCGTGCGGATCTCGCCCTGTACCGAGAGGCTCCATACAAATAAAACAGTCCGTGTCGTCCAGTTTCCGAAGCTCCGCCTCCCTGAGCGGTGCGACCGCACTCTCGAGGAGGCTCTGTCTGGAGAACTCGTCTTTAAACCTCAAAGATGCGTTGCGTAGGAGGATATACTCGGTATGCTTGTAGTGGCCAGGGCTAGTGAGCATGCCACCTGCGTACGCACCACTCCGGAATCCCATAGAGCCCCTTTGGGTAATGGACACTACACTCCACTTGAACAGGCTGACAAATAGTGTGCCTAGGTCTTGGGGGAGGTTCGCCCTCATGACGTCTGTGTCGACGTGCCAGAATTCTAGGAATATTCGGCTGATGGAAGCGATTCGTGCCCTGGTCAGTCCTGGATCGTGGGCCAGGAGATGCGCAACAAGGTTGGAAACTTGCATGCGCGTATCAAAGTTGGCCGCGACAAAGTCAGCGAACAATGGTGCACGAAAAGAGTTGATTAGAGAGCGTTCCCACTGGTCTCTGCCGCCGAACGAATCGATTTTTTCCGTCAGTTGAGCCGTAAGAACTCTTACTCGGTCCATGATATCAGGGGCACATTTCAGAACAGGCACGGCCGTGACTTGCCCGCTTTCGTGAGGCTTATGGTCGCCAAGGTTGATTAAAAAAGTGAAGTCGGGCTGTTGGCGGTGGAATTCAGTGTGCTGTTCGACAGATGGAAAATCTGGATCGAGCTCTCCATCGTTGGCCGGCCTCCGGGTGTGGGCTAACAATCGATAATTGAATTCATCCGCGAGTCGATTGCCGGTGTTGGCACCGGGCCAGAACCCTCGCCAAGGGAAGAAATATGATTGGGAGACAATCCGCCGCATAGCCGCAGCGTTGTTGTGAAGCTCAGTGATCCTGTTTGTATCGAACTCCTTGGTGGCATCGTCTGTTTCCAAGCATTCGCAGTAGGGACCATTTTCGACATGGTCTTTGTTGAAGCGGCAGGCTGTCTCGATTTTGCTGACTCGATTGACAAATTGATCATCCGCATTTCCTTCAAACCTAGTCGGAAGTCGCTGTCCCGCATCCATCAATGCCATATTGAGGAATTCGACCATGGATTTGACATATTGCTCCGTAGCTGCTTGTGCTTCTATGCAATTCTCATCAACCATGCTCTCGGTAAGTCGTTTCGGTTTGGTGAAGGGCTGAAGGAATTTGCCGGTGCATTCGTGACAGGCGATATCATATACCTCGGATTGCTTGGCCAGAGCCTTCGGGTCTAGGCACTCGGCGTATCTCGGGCTGGCGCATCGAATAATGTACTGGAAGGTATGCCGCGAAAACCTTCCCCCTGGAAAACATCTAAAGTTTCTCGTGAGAAGGATACACATGGTAAACGTGAGGGTGGCGACAATGTCGAGCAGTCCGTCAGCAAGACTCAAAGATTAGCATAAAAAGGACAAAAGTGTCAAGCCAAGGGTAGTCTGGTTGTTTTGTCTCTTTAAGAAGGATAACGGTTATGACATGGTATAGCCATAAGTTGCTGGGCTGAGCATCCGGCCCGTGGTCTGAGGGTCGAGATAACCTCGAGTCATATTCAGGCATTGCTACTACATTAAGAGAAGTCAACAAAGACCAACGACAACCCCTTTCTTTGACACTTTGAAAAGTAGTAGGTGATACCAAACATCCCGGTTGGGAAGATCTAGAGCCGTCTACATTGGCGGTCGGTTGCGGCAGCAGAACTATTCGAACTCGTCAAAGACAATGCGAGTCCAAAGGGAGAAGTCACGACTTTTGCGTATTAGTGGAAAGTGACAATAGCAATGGCTCTTTCTGCCAAGTCACAGCACAATGCCCCCGGCGTAAGGAGAAGGGGCCCCTTGGGTTCTGGTCCAAGCTGCAAGACATTGTGCATGGAAGACACATGGCACTTGCTCAGAATCTCTTTCATGGTATCCAGGTGACGATACCACAGTTCCAAATGTCGTTTGGCGACAGAGTGTGATGCCCAGTTGGGCCAAAGACGAGAGATTGTAGACGACTGCAGGATGCAGCTGCACGGCGGCTCGTGGTGTAGGCCGACTGGCTGGGAGACCGCTGTCAGTTCGCCCTGTCTGTTCGGCCCAGGACGGCCATTTTGATTGGTTTACTTCCTGATGAGGGAATCCTAGACGATTCAGGCCCAAGAAGCGAGAGGCTTGGCTGGAAGAACAAGAGTGATGTTTTCGTTTCGTAGTCGCAATGAAGAGGGTGCGATGGAATGGGTTAGAAAGGTGTACTTGAGGAAGAAGAGGCAGGAGGTGGAGGAGCAGCTGAGTCATCGGTCCAATTAAGTAAGCCAGCCCCTCAAGGTCCCCAGGTCTTCTAGCTGAGCAACCGAGGCAGTTCTTGAGCTGTACGTACTTCGCAACTCACTGCTGGCAACAGAAGACGAGGTGGACAGGATCCATCGTGAGATCCATCCGTTGACATTCCCCCGTCACCGACTCGCCTTTTTCCCACGATGGAACACCCGCAAGCCCCGCTGCCTACTCCGGACAGGCCTCAATTAGCCTTTGGCACTTGTCGACGTGTTCGATCGCGAGCTCACCAGGGCGGCGGGTACCAATTGACCCCTTAGTGGTCTTGATGCCCAACCAGCCAACTGCGATCTCCGTGTTTGCCTCCAACCGCACCGCCCTTTGCTCACTTATCACGTCCGGTAACGCAAAAGAACGCTCTGGAGGGGCGACTACCAAGCCTTCAAGAAGAAGAAGAAGAAGAAGACCATCCAGCCAGACCAAGACCAACCAGTGCAGTCGCCGCCATCAGCAGGAGGCCATCAGCCCATTGCAGGAGAGTGGGAGACGAAAGCCTCACCTAATGTGACTGGCGGAAAGTGACCCCCCACGACACCATCAGCAATAGCTTCGAGAGACTACTTTTGGGCTACGAGCGGCCCGACGAGTGCGGGAACTGCTGCGGTAGGGGACCATCGCCACGCCTACCACCGGTTCATTGGTTTGGCAGCTGCATGGACCGCGCATAATCGCGCCCAGCCTGCTCCTGAGTCTGCTGCATCCGGAGAATGCCTTCGTTTTTCGGCTGCTCCTTCGATGCGGATATACAGTCTTACACTCCCTTCTTCTTCTATTTCTCCTCCGCATTCGCTGCACGATGCCACTCTTGCATATGCGGCCCCTTGTGTGATCCTCTCGGATTCACCACGGAACCTCCTTCAACCCAGGCGAGCTGCCAGCTACCTTACACCGTCAGTGACCCCCGTCCATCTTGCCCATCATCTCATCCATAGCAGCCCAAGGGATGTTGAGGTTAAATATGTCTCGTGGACCTTTGACACCCTATCTGCTACGCAGGTTGTTCTTCTTTCTCTGCTTCCACGTTCACCATGTCACAAACTGTTCTTTTCGTACGATTCCGGTCTCCCTCTATTGTGATACTTTGATCATTACTGTACCATTCATAACTTCTGTTATTCGACTCAACAACATCACCGGCTATCTTTCCCCGGATACTGAATGTATATCCCCCAATCCCTCAATGGCCGAGTGCCGAGAAGCTTCGGTCTTGAGAGAGAGCCTCGCTCCCCCGATTTCGAGGTGGCAGCGCGTGCAGTCAAACACTACAATACCGTCACAAAGAGACAGGTCTCGATAACAGGTGGACAGACCACCAACCTGACCGTTGGTGTCACGGTGGGGGTGGCCATCCTCGTATTCATTCTGGGCGCTGGAGCCTTTCTCTACTATTACCGAGTGTCTCTCAAAAAGATCAGTCGCCGTCGACATCGTCGTCGCCGACGCCATCACTCCCACAAGTCTTACAGCTCAAGGAGCTCAAAGAGCTCGGCCGACGACGGCCCAGCCTCTCATCCACCTCCTCGAGGGCCGCCCTCCGCGCCACGCTCTACCGCCCCATCTGCCACGCCTGCTGATCCCCCTGCCGGCGCGCCGGCCGATGCTCCAGCCGACCCTCCCGCAGACCCTCCAGCTGATGCCCCAGCTGATGCCCCAGCTGAGAAGTAGTCTTGGGTGGGTGTTACACCCTCACACCGGGCGAGACTCAATACTAGGGAGGGGGCTTGAAAAAGAAAGTCTCAGGTACATTGTGTCCTTCACTATAAAGCTTCAACAAACTGACATGAAAGAAGGATTCCATGACCTGACGCGAGTTGTATTATGCAGAATTTGGCATTTGTCCGGAGCGGGAGTTGGCGAATGAAATTTCCAAGGCGAACCCAGGCGCCACTATCTTTCCTATTGAACCCAGCAGTGTTGTACGTTTGCGGTGTGTATAATCTTGAATCGATGGTTGTTGTTTTGGTCTGTGTCTAAAGCAGCTCGACTTATGTATCTCTTGGTTCTATATGAACATTGGTCGTGCCTTTGAACCTCCAACCAGTATTTGGAACACTCGCCTTCTTGCTCAGAAGGGCCGAACCTCCCAACATGCCTCCCTCGGGAGACCGGCTTCATCACTATACAGTTACACAGCCTCCATCTCATTGTCATTCACAATCACAGCTCCATTACCAGCGGCCTCCCTTCTCAGATCTCGAGCTTCCGGCGGGATACCGCACAAAGAATCAAAGAACGAGTAGCAGCACTCGTTACAAGTCACCTCCCTGTCACCATGTATATCGTCTTCCGTAGCGAACTGCTCCAGCCGGAAGTTGGGGTCTACGCCCCATCCCATTTCTAATCCCATGTCCTGGCCAGGCGCCGGCCCGTAGTCGATGAAGCCGTCGCCCGACGGCAAGTCCATACCGGGAACCATGCCCATTCCCATTCCCATTCCCATACCAGCTACCGGAGCTGGATGCATGGGCATAGCCATCATGGGAGGCGTAGGCATGAATCGTATCGTAGGCTCTCGAGGCTGCGAAGAATGTTTACTCCTGCGGTTAGATTTGACCTTGACCTTCCGCTTTGCTTTCTTGCAAGTCTTCTTGGGCTTCGCCTTTCGTTTGGCATTGTGATGATGATGGCCGTGTTTATAATGGTGGTGGTGATGACGATGCGTCCACCCATGGACGTGCGGGTGACGGGCAGAATGTACGCGGGCATCCATTTTAGGCTTCGAGTGTACGTGATGAATATGAGATTTATGTAAAGGAGGCTCGTGAGGGTGGACATGCTGTACTTGATGGTCCATCTTTTTCCGCGGCTTGGGAGAGAAAACGCAGTTGAAGCAGAAGTATATGAGGCTCACGGCAGCCAGGCCTCCGACGAGACAGCCGATGAGCATTCCTGCTATTCTGCCTTCCTCGCCACGACGCACCAAATGACCTGCCGGGACTGGTGATATTGGTAATGGCGCCATGTTAGGGGCGGCCGAGGTCTGGCCTCAGCTGGTTTGTGCCGTTTCTCGTGTTCTAGTCATCGGCTTGTTCGCTGTTCTAGCATCGCCATGACTATTTTCGTTTTCCCCATTCATCTCAGAGGGAGAGGTGACGATAGTTGTATGAATCATTTTTGACCTCTTCCAAGGTTGTTAGCATCGTTGATCTACAAAAGCCAGTTTGCTCCAAGCTATATCTTCAGGAGGAACAATGAGACACTTGGAAATAGCGAAGCAAGCGGTAAACCCACGACAACCGGTCACGACAATCTATCTCTTCACGCAGCCTCGAAAAATGGTTGTTTCAGGCACGTCTTCACGATCCCCAGAAAGTATATTCCAAACAATCGAATGAGGCAGTACAACGTAGCACTCTCATCAAGCCACCGCACGCTCGGTACCCAGCCATGTTTGCGTTTGCGTCTACGATACAAGCTCGTCATTGCTGACTCTGCGACCTCTGCATCCCAAACACGTGCTTGCGGCAGCTCAGGTAGCAAATAAGACGGGACGGGAGGGAGGCTGCAACTATTCTAGATTCTACGTTATCCTACAAACCACACATTTAGCCGTCCATCCACCCCTTCGACCACACCGCTGCCGAAAATTCAAAGTCAAGAGAAATCCGGGTATTGCCTCCGTGCTACTGGGTATTGCCATTCCAAGCCGTCGTCGAAATCATCGCTCATCAATCTATGTACGGAAAAGAGAAACTGGGTATCTCATATACGCACTTCCTCTGAGGAAAACATAACATAGAAACCTCCCCCTCAAACCCTCCGCCGACCGCGCCTTTCCTCCCTCCTCTCCTCCCTCTCCCGAATCTGCACCAAAACAGACCCTATAGCCCCTTGCACCTTGCCCGAGCGCTCCATAAACGCATCGTAAAACTCGCAGTCGGCGTGTCCGGGCTGTCGCTCGTTCAAAGAGATGAGCGTGTTGGATAACGTCTCCATCTCCTCTTTCAGCGGCGCATAGTCGGTCCCGTATCCGCGTCGGCGGCGGCGGTGGGTATCGTCATCGCCGCGATGGTGTCTTGACGGCGAGGAGGGCGAGCCGGGTGCGTGTGAAGGGTACCCGTCGTCGCGGCTGTGGCGTCTTCTCCGGTCACGGTCATCGTCTTTGCCACCACTGCCGTGTCGTCTCCCGTGAGAGCGATCTTGCGAATGCCCACGAGAGTATGAACCGCGGTCTCGGCTGCCTCTTCGTCCCTTGCCATGTCTCCGCCTCGCGTCTTCCTCTTCATCGTCCTCCCCTCCACCGCCACCGAAGCGCTCCATAGCTTTGGAAAGGATGTTCTTGCCCAGGTGCTCCAGCATCTCCATGTCCATGTTCGGAACGCCGCCTCTAGCGCGCTCGTCTTCGTCGTGGCCGTGGGTGTTGCGTGTGCTAAGGCGCCGGTCGTTTCTGTGTCCTCCTCCATTCTTGTCTTCGTCGCCGCCGCCGCTCAGCTTCTTCATGTACTTTTGTACTGCATATTCGACGAGTCCTCGAGCGAGAGTTTCGATAATGATTTCGATTTGGCCGTGGTTATTGCCGCCTCCGCCTCCGCCCCCACCGCTGTGTCGGTTGCGATTGCGGCTGCCGCGATTTGGGGACGGCGCGGTGTTGCGGGAGCGTGTTAGTGTGCGTAGTAAGCCATCCATGACCACGGGGGGTCGGGATGCATTGGGTTTCCTTGTGCTGGTTGTGCGAATGTGGTAAAATGAGAGTTGAACGAGTGTGACAGGTGTAAAGAGTGAGCGCTCAGTGGTGTAAGTGAATCACTCTCGGATAGTAAGGGTGCAAAAGAATGAAAAGGAAAAAGTGAGAAAAGAGGAAATGAATCGCTCTTCTTCTTCTTTTCTGAGGCCCTCTTCGACTTTATTTTTCCAATTCAGTAGCTTGCGGGTTAAAGCTTCTTAGCTTGGTCGTTGGTGGCACGGCGAGTCGTGCGGGTGGTTATTGGTCATGTGGTGATGGTGTTTTCTCATGTGATTGAGTGTCCGTCTGCCTGTGTGCAAGTGAGACAGTAGCACTCAGGCGCTGAAGAGAGCTGGTGAGTATTAAGTAGTCAGTCGGTCGCTCTTTCCAACTCTGCACAGGCAGAGGGTAAAATGACTTTTTCTGTTTTCGAAATGACCCGCGGTCTGGTGCGGATTCAGCGTGGCTCAGTTGTCTTTTGTTTTTGGGCAGTGTGATTGATTGTTTTGTTGGTGGTGACTAAATGAGCGAGTGAGGTGACAGCGACAGAGTCACAGACTAGGCGCAGCGTGTGAGGCAACCCGGGGAAAAGCGGGTTATCGTCGGAAAAGTTGTTTCGCTGCCTGAGAGAAATTGCATGTGAACTTTTGGATGATCCTGTGTTTATTCGTGGTTTGCTTCCAAAGTCCAAGACTTTGGTGGATATTGAAGCTCCGAATATTTTTGCTTTCGGCCTTACCGCGTAGGTATGTGAAGGAACAGCCGTACGCGATGGTCAGCTGGAGGTGAAACTGCGAACGCTTCTTCAACTTGGAAACGACTATCATGAGTAATTAACTTCATATCGCGGTGTCCAAAATCCTCTTCATCATCAAGACCTCATCCTCTGGGCAAGTGCTTCGGTGCTACACTGAGAGTGATGTCATGCTCGCTCATAGGCCGTTCTGAGACGTCAAACCTAGCATAATACTTGACACTTCTGCATACTCTTCATTCACCGATACATGAGACTGGTTTGAATGTGTCCATTTGAAAATATTGCGCCGTGTTACCGGCAAGTTCGGGCTGGACCGCCTCTTCCACCGGTGCCTAGCACTAGGGACACTATGTTTATCATTGATCATGCCATCCCAGGCACTTTCCCCCAGCGACGCCTTGTAAATGCACATATGCCAGCCATGAGAACCATTACGTGAGGCTTTCCCCTTAGCTGAGCAGCTCCTTGATGTCCTCGATCCGCGCAAGCTTCTTCTCCTCGTCGCTCATCATTCCTAAAGAAGTAGCACTAAGGGTATCAAGTCAGCAAATACTCGGTCATCCAGCACACCGGATTGGTCAACTCACATAAACTTCTTCCGGTCCTGTACCCGAAGCATCCTTTCCTCCACGCTCCCCTTGACGATGAAGCGGTAGACCTTAACCTCCTCGTCTTGGCCCATGCGATGCACACGATCAATCGCCTGAGCCTCAACCGCGAAACTCCACCAAGGATCCATCATATACACTCTCTTCGCAGACGTCAAGTTCAGCCCCACGCCACCAGCACGAAGACTGATGAGCAGCACGGTGAATGTCTTTGACTCTTGGAACTCAGTCAGGACCGCCGCGCGAGCCTTCTGCGCCATGGATCCGTCGAGGCGAAGGAACTTGATATTCGCCCGTGCCAAAGCCGGCTCAATCAGTGTCAAGAACGATGTAAATTGGCTGAAGACAACAGACTTGACCCGCGGCTGCTCCCTTCTCAGGTCACGCAGGGCCTTAATCAAAGTCACGACCTTGGCCGAGGAGTTATTCACACCCAAGCGCTGTAGACTAATCTTGGATTTCTTGAACACGTCCGGGTCGTCGTCGTGGCGAACGACCTCGAATAGGTCGCGATAGTTGATCTCGGATCGACAGTTGGGGCAGGTCGGCACCTTATGCCGATCTGTTTGGTGCTTCATGTAATCCAGAAGGCACTTCTTGCAAGCAGAGTGCCAACATCCAGTGACCGTCTGCTCGACCATGGGCTCTTCGGCGCAGATCGGACACTCGCTCTCGGCTTCGTCGCGGATCTGGCCGAGGATATGGGCTCCAAAAGCAGCTGTGTTAGACTCCGTTTCGGATATAGCTGCTGTGAAATGTTCAATCAGGGAACCTAGGTCCATGTCGTCCGCAAGACCGGCAGCCATGTCAGCTGCAGCTCCAGCTTCTACCTCGTCCGCGACGAGCTCCTTGTTTCGTACCAAAACCGGGTGGCAACAAGACTGTCGTAGACGCAAAATGTGGGCAAAAATGCTAGTAAACGCTTTCATCACCGTGCCTGCTTCGACGTTCTCTCTGAACGATTGCTTGGCTCTCGTAAAGATGTAGTCGTAAATCTCTCGTTCGGTCTGACTGAGCTCGACATCAACGATTTCAACATGTTTCGGTGGAAGGGGTACCAGTCTTCCAAGGGTTAGCTAAAGTGTGACAATCCAGGGTGCATTCACTTACGGCTCGCCCTCAGGCGTCTTCATGTCTTTGGTACGCCTGAGAACTAGAGGCTCCAACACGGTCTGCACCACGTCAAGTGCCCTCATAAAGTCCTTGGACTCGAAAGGGACAGTGATGAAAGTCTTCCAGAACGAAAAGTTGTTCCAAGGCTCCACACGAAGGAAGCGAACCAGACTGAACAGATCCTCCAGCTTGTTGACGATTGGCGTTCCAGTCAACACCCATCTGTGTTCGGCAGATATTTCGTAACACGCTTTGGCAGTTTTTGACTGTCGGTTCTTGATGTGATGGCCCTCGTCCAGAATGACGCGGAAAAAGTTGAGCGAGAACAGTCCGGTATGAGACGACTTGTCACCCTTTTTAGCCGCAACTTGGTTGAACTCTGACAACACCACACCGTAGCTGGTAATGACCACATCAGGCGCAGACGCTGCGCTCGCGGCACAACATACGGCCTGAAGATTATTGGCCTTTTCGTTGCCATAGTACACGATGGCCTTGAGAGTGCCTTCTTTTGAGGCCTTCTCAGCTTCACTATGCCACTGCGCCAACAATGACATTGGTGCCACGACGAGTGTTGTACAAGGCGCATCTAGCACGCTCGATGAGTTGGAGGCAAGCCTTGGAAGCTCATTGACGGACGTAGGAACACTACCCATCGCCTTGGCTTGCCGCGCGACGTCAGAGCGGTGGGTGTGGACTAGACTGAGCATCTGGATGGTCTTGCCGAGACCCATCTCATCGGCTAGGATACCACCGAGGCAGTTTTGCTCTTGAACAGGAAAATCGAGAGAAAGGTCTCCCGAGTATGGGTTGACGTAGAAATGCTGCTGATCGTGAACCTGAGGAAGCTCCTTTTCGTCCGTATCCTTGAGTGGCCATGTGTATTCCTCCCACAGAGGGTGCATGCTTGGCTCCCTGTTGCTCTTCTGGTCCTTTTCCTTGGTCATCATCCAATGCAACGCTTGCTTCTGGTAGGGTCTCAGGTTCATAGCAAAGGTATCGGCAGGTTCCGCTTCGGGTGTGTTAAAGTCGAATGATTGGGCCTTGCGGTAAAGGGCATCAAGCTGGTCTTGCTCCAGCTCTTCACCCTCCTCTTGCTCGTCTGAAGGGGGCGAAGACCCGGGTGCTCGATCGGTTGTCTTGGCAGTGTCTTTCTCCTTTTTCTCATCCATCTCTGCAGCCTGCAGCAAGCCTTGCCGTTGGTGTTTGGACGCTGTGGCATTGGCTCGCGTAGGTTCAAGATTGATCTCGGAAAAGAGCTTCACTAACGCCACTTGCCTAAGACGCAGCTCCTTCTCCTCGGTCGATTCTTTCTCCTCGAAGAAATTGGTCGCCCTGTTTTCTGATACCTTGAATCCAGGCCGATGGAATGCTGAGGCAAGCAAATGACACTTCAGCTGGATGAAAACGGTGTCGTTCGTTCGCAGACGCTCAGGGGCATATACGCAGGTACCCTCAAACTTGCATATCTGCTGGTCCATCAACGTTGAGACCCATTCGGCTGTTTCTTTCTCCAACCTGCCAATCTCGGACCCGCTGCTGCTTGTGAACCGCACTAGGACGTCGTTTCGCTTTGAACTTGCAGCTGGGCCACGCGGCGGAGCGTTCGGGACGCCGAACTTCGTATGTAACTTGGACTTTGGCGGTTGGATTTTTTGCCGCTCAATCCTGACTACATCGCCGTGGTTAAGCAGATTTGCCCCGCTCCGTGTCGCCCAGCCCTCAACACCGAGGGAACCTATATATCTTGCCTCGGGCATGGTTCGTCTGATCGCGGGCTTTGGTGCATCCTCCATGGGAATATCTTGCTTTATGGTGTTGGCCGCGGCTGGTGGTGGTCGAGAAATGGCATTCAGAGCCGGAGATTTCTTCTTGAGGTTCTTCCACGTGCCATCAAAGTACATATTGACGGCTCGCTCGAGGTTATTGTCGCAGCTATCCCGAATTATATCCAGCACCTCCGCCGTAACCTTGTCTCCTATGAAGCTCTCAAAGGTTTCCTGGTCGAAGGTCATGGCGGACTCTTCGCGCTGCATATTTGAAGACGGGCCGGATCGGTTGGAGGCATCGTCGACTGGCTGTTCTACAAGCGGTCCGCGTGGTTTCGAGGGCGAAGACGGGGGCTCAGCATCCTCGCTCTTGATCTGGGGCGATTGATCGTCGACATCTTGGAAAAATCGCTGCTTCGGTTGCGTTGGTGGGGTGGGTAACACCGGGCTGGACTGATGGCTCAACACATCGTCGTCCGAGGCGGCAAAGAAGCGTCTCCTCTTCGCCGGGGGTTCAGGAGACTGTGGGTATTCCATAGCTGTTCAGGCTGCCGCCATGAAGGTTTCCACGATGGCGGGTCGTATTGGGTGGTGTGCCACTGACACTGAACGAGACGAACCGCCACAAAAAGTTACCTGGGCAAGGGACCTGGGTTCGGAAGACGCGAGGCGAATCAGTCAGCGCGACGGGGCGCGTCGGGTCGTCATGTGACTGCGTGTCTGCTGAGGCAAGTCAATTAAGAGACACCCCGGCAAAGACGTCATTACCCGCAACCACAGAGTTCGACCTCGGAGTTTTAGTGCACTTGCACAGTGTAGCAGCAGCAGTGGACAAAGAAGAAGGCCCCACAGCTTTCCATCCAGCTGCAACTCGCGAATTTCAGAAGCAGCACCGACATGGCGCATCACACCAGCGTCTTTTCCTGAATGAATCGCACAACACGGATCGCCGGCCATGGCCTGAGAAGGCTCGTCCAGACCCCTCCACAGGGCACAAGGGGCATTGTCACAGACGCAGACGTCGTCAAGGCGAGGAAATACTGCCAATCGCAGCTGCAGTACGACCGCATCCCATCCCCCGAATCAAGAGGTGGATCTTGACCGTTCCAAAAGATTCTGACTTTCCCAAAAAGACACAGCGACTACGATGCGCATATAATAAGCCGCCTCGTCCCGGCGCGTGCAACAGACACCTACCTTGCCCTCCGCAGCCTCAACCTCGAACTAGTCCGCCTCCCCGAGCTCGTCTCCAACCCGACCATCGGTCAGATGCGCATGCAGTTCTGGCGCGACTCCATCGACAAGACCTTTGCCGGCGCCCCCCCGGCCGAACCGATATGCGTGCTCCTCCACCAAGCGCTGCAGGACCTGCGCGCGCGCTCGCCAGGCAACGCCACAGCGAGCTCCATCAAGTTCTGGGTGCAGCGGCTCGTCAAGACACGGGCGAAACACATGGACAATAGACCGTATGCGTCGCTGGCCGCGCTGGAGGAGTACGCCGAGAACACGTACTCGACGCTCATGTACGCCACGCTAGCATCGATGCCGCTCCGCTCCATGCAGGTGGATCACCTGGCGAGTCACATTGGCAAGGCGTGCGGCATCGTGGCCGTCTTGCGCGGTATCCCCGTGCTGGCGGCGCCGCAGCAGCAGCCCGCGAAATCCCATGCCGGACCGGGCGGCGGACGACAGGATCCCGCGCTTCTCCTCCCGCTAGATGTCATGGCGGAGGTCAACCTGCGGGAGGAGGATGTCTTCCGATACGGCCCGCAGGCAGAGGGCTTCCAGGACGCCGTGTTCAAGGTGGCTACGCGGGCAAACGACCACCTCATTACGGCGCGGGAGATGCTCAAGAACCTCAAGGCTGGGCAGGACGCCGGTCACGAGTTTGAGCACCAGGGAGAGGCGGAGCACGTGTACGAGCCGGAAGAGGATGACACGCAGCGGGACCTTCGACGAGGGTTCGGAGTGCTGCTTGAGGCTGTGCCGGCGCAAGAGTACCTCACTAATCTCGAGGGTACCAACTTTGACCCTTGGACGGTGAAGGCGAGCTGGAAACTGCCTTGGCGTCTCTGGCGTGCGACGAGCAAGAGCCAGATCTAAGTGGCCACAATGAAAATGGTCCTATACAATCACGTATCTGACGGTGTTACAACATCAGTGGGTTGGCTGTGTAAGAGTGCAGTGTAAGACTAGCTTGGCTTCTGGTTGAAGAGGCCGTGTTCAAAAGTAATCATGCTCCCAATGAGGCCTAGGGAATCATTTCTCAATCATAACTGAGTTGAAGCGTAAACCCCATCGAGAGACCCAGTGCTGACATTTCCGTCACCTGGATTGGCCGGCCCGTCCGCGGGGACAGTGCTAATGACCAACCTAATCACGCGCCACACGGCCGTGGCTGGAGCTTCCTTTGCACCCCCACATTTCCTTGAGATCCCAGCGCCAGCCACATTTCGGAAAATTCCACTTTGTGGCGCATGAACTCCCGAAATAATTTGGCAATCGTCAATTGGAGCTTCTTCCGAGCCTCGAATCATCCCCAGTATAGCGTCAATGTCGGTATCAAGATGTTGTACGAACTCATAGGAATTGTAAGTCGCTCCTCTTATTCTGCTGCCGACATATTCTCTCTGAAATAAGTAACTAACATCATCACAGGTGCGACCGGGCTCCCTCGCCGAGGTGAAAGAGTACGCGATCCCTCCATCTCTACCCATAACCCCCTTCGATCCCAGGACCTCAATACCTCCCGCCATCTACCATCGCAAACCCTCTCCATCATACAAGACCTCAAGTCCAAGTCTCATCTAACCAATTACTCTCTACAGAATCGCCCTCACCGCCGGTCAAATCGTCCTCCGCAACGGCGGCGTCATCCGCGGCATTTCCAACTGGGGCGTCTTCACCCTCCCGCGCCCCGTCGCAAAGGCCCAGATGAAGCACAAGGCGGGCCACTACTTTGTCATGCGCTACGACGCCTCATCTGCCACCCACAACGACATGCGCACCACCATCAACCTCGACCCCCGCGTCATCCGCACTGCCCACGTCAAGCTCGGCGACGGCAAGCTCGAGACCATGGCCCGCTTCGGAGACGTCAAGTGGGATCAATGAGCGCGTTCTCAGGGGAAGGAAGAGGAAGACGGTCCCCAGACGTGAGATGGGCATGGAATGACACAAGGGAGTTCGTGGATCATAACCGCCGCGGATGAAGAGTGGGAGACCGCACAGCATGGGGTGTACAATTCTCCTTCGCGTGGGAGTCGGGAATCGTGGCTCGCGGGCCTTAAAATGACAGTTGTTGTATGATACGGGATCCACCCCCGAGCCGGCGACGGGGACGTTTGGTTGCGCATGAATAGAGCCGACGATAGTTCGGAATGTATAAATATGTGGCACGCCACTGATATAACTTGGACGTAATGATTTACTAAACCACTGCGTATAAAAAGAATATGCACTTTTTTTGCACTCAGGCTTTTGTCAATCTGATATTCGCAGTTCACAACTGCATGCGCTAGGCTAATGCTGAAAATCTCTACCTTTGGCCATGGTATCTGGTCTCCCGACGTAGCCTATCTCTGTGGTTTCAGCGGCCTCGCTGTCACTAGACGTCCCGCTGCTATGTACCAAGTGTGTGTGGAAGGCGTGCCGATTTGCACTCCTCCTACCGTCGTCGGATCCGTCCCAGTCATTATCTCAATGACCTTTCGTCGTGAGTTTCGGCCTCATGTGGTGATGCCGATCCGTGGTCTGTTGCAATATTTTTAGGCGTCCAAGTCCATTGTCTCGGACTTGCCAATCCCTCTCTCTTTGCACCAAGCCACGAAGTCATCAATTACACTAGGCCATGCCCCATCCTCGTTCCAGAAAGACAATGACTCATCTGCCATGGACTTGGTCGCGAATTCGAGGATCTGGTTCCACGTGTCGCGGTTAACAGATCTGGTCCACTTCTCTTCGAGAAACTTCAACCACAGCTGCAGCCAGTCCTGGTTCTTCGTCTTCCACTCCCAACCTGGTGGCGAAAAGAGGACGTTCCAGTAGACTGTAGCAATCTCAAGGTTGAGTGCCTTTTGGGTCGGCTCCTTGCTGGCAACGAAGGTGTGCCGATACACCTTTCTGAAGTAGGCAGGGTCGGTTGAAAGACTGCTGACCAGTGACTTGATGTGAGAGACGTGCGCTTGACGCGTCGCAGCACTATAATCATGTTAGTATACTGGAGGCTGACGCTGGAAACGTTGTTCATACCCAGACACCTTCCAGCCATCGACGAAGCCTTTTCTGGTGATTTCTCCAACAGACGGTGCCTGAAGGAGTTCCATCACGACTAGCAGCTCAGCGTTCTCGATGTTGACGCCCAAGTCGCCGAGGTACGCCATGGTAGTGTCAAGACCCAGTGTGTTCTTCTCGTCTTTTGAGTCATCTGCCTACTGTTAGTCATGGAATCAAGGGGCTAGGCTGTGAGAGCATAACCTCGTAGCTTGTCAAACATTTGATTCAACGAAGTATCAAGCGCCGAAGTCGTGGGGGTGGAAGTTCCGCTGGCGCCAGAGAAGTATCTTCAGGAATTGTCAGTCAATGCTTTTCTGCAACACAAGAGGCAACAACTCCATAAGAACGTAAACATATTTGAGTTATTGAAGCTTCAAAAGACGCAAGTCGGCTGGCAACTTTGCGCAGGACATGGCACACGGAATGGGCGGAATACCCAGACTGATTCTTCTCCTCAGCAACGAGGTTATTTCTTGATGCCTTGCGTCTCGAAGACCACAAACTCAAGCCTTTGGTAGGCAAGGCATTCTTCACTCCTTTCCACCCCATCGTCTTGGTGCTCCTGCCTTGTCTCGGCGTCAATCAGTCCCAACGTGCTTCGGGGTTCTGGCGCATCCAAGAATGAAGCACGCCGGCTGGTGCGGAATCGACACGACTGATAGAGGCTCGAAAAGGCAAAGGTGCGCTGAATGCCTGTAGCCGTTTGTGACGAGATGCTTAGGAAGATGAAGAGTGCTAGCCAATTTCTCCATACAAAGGACCGTGACCTTCGTGGTGGTCGGATATGAGTGGCACCGGGGTGACAGCCGGCCCAGTCCGGAAAAGCGAGGCACTTGCGTCAACTAGATCGACCAATGGACGGGAGACGGCCGATCAAAGCAACGACGGTGGCGGCTTGCCATGGCAGTTCGTTGCTTTAAGAGCCATTTCGTCCGCGTGAATGTTTCAGGAGCAATTGTCGATCGGCGTCGGCTCGGCCTTTCTCCTACGGTGTGGGCAACAATGTATCCCCAAAGAGTGAACTGTGACCTCGTAGCTGCAGAGGTGCCTCTCTCCGACGGGTGCATTGGAGCAGCGCAACGCTGAGTAGCGCTCCGAGGGGGGTTCGACGGCGTTTCCCCCACAAAGGGCATCTCAGACCGGGCCAACAACCGAGCAAGTCAAGTATGAACTAACGCGGTATCCTTGCGTGCGCTGCAGGTCAAATTGCCCGAGAAGGGCCGGCGCATGATGAGATGAGTGGTTCGGATAACATTATACGGGCGGTAAAAGGTGATGGCAGAAACGGCCAGTCCAGCAAACAACTGGGGGCGAGCGAGACCGAACGAAACGACACAAAACCGCGGCATAGACTATAGGAAACCCCGTGTAGTATATCGGGTGAGTTGCACTTACGCATCAACGGCTTCATTGAGCTTGTATCCGGCGTTCTTCAGGTACTATTCGGAAGCTTGTAGTCAGCACTCCATTCCGCCTTCAAGATCCAACGGCCCGGTGGGCGGTCTCGTCTTCCACCAGCTGCCGCCCTTCCCCGCCAAGGCAGTATCGCGTCGAAGCCCAGTAATGCTCCAGCTACGAGACAGCACAACGCAAAGCAGCGCGACGTAGAGTAGCGGCGCATGACAGGCTTCGACGTTTCGCCGATAGTTCAATGACGAGGTCCACGTCTTGCGAACCGACGAGGACGATGAGGGGTTGGGAAAGCGCATGCGTCGCATGGTAGACGAGAAACCGAGGCACCGACAGCGATAGGGTATTCTTCTCTGGGCTTGGACTCACCCTTTGTGCAGTTCTGTCACTTGCACCTGTCAACTGAACGAACTGGGTGGTCATCGCCTTCTGGGAGGTCGATGTCGGCGCCATTGTGCTCGCAGCAGCTCTACCTCCGTCTGCGTGTGGCCGTATTGCCCAAAACTATCTTCCTGGTTCGGATGTAGGTTGAGCGAGTCGCGTGACGCAATTCGACCGCTTTCAAGAGTCGGTGACGATGCGACGACTGAGGGTGTCGGCAAGAGGGCAGTACGCTTCGTGGCAGAGAGGAAGAGGTCGAGTGTCAGCCGCTTTTTGAGGAGACGAGGCGAAGTTCGTGCAGGTCAGACGTGACGGGGTGCGTGGGATTGAAGGTCGTTATTGCAGTGGTGTGGTCAGTTGGGAAGGGAGGAGAGTAAGGTGGTAGAAAAGAGCTTCGGAGGGGTGGGAGCAAGCAAGGCTGAAGCCGAGATGGTGGGGTAAGAGCCAACGAGCGATGCCTTCCAGTTTGGTTGCTGAAGGTCTTCCTGCCTATGGCGGGGCAGTCTGTGATTTTTTGGGCGGTAAGGCTCTCGCTCCTCAGTGATCACCTCACTCCAAAATGACCTGCCTTGAGGTGCTGTACTCCGTACTTTTGGTGCAATGGCGGACCGTGGACGGCGGGAAGTGGGACCTTCCGACCGCAAGAGCCCGCATCTTTGACCCCGCCTTCCTCATTGGGCCTCATCTTGGAAGGAACATTCTCCCGCGTTTCTATGCGTGCATCTCATACTCACCGGCCTCGTCAAACTCACTGCAAAGACTCTCAGACCTTCTTCTGCTAATCATTCCCAGTTGCTCTGTCAATCACCTCTATCCTCGTTTGAACTTATCACTATAAAGTACGAAGGCTCTCCCTTCAGATCTCATGCGTGTAAGGTAGACGATATCATTCGGCAACTCCTCTCATATCCAACGACATAGACACCAGAATTCAATATTGCCTCTTTGAATGAGACTGATAAAGGCCTCCTTACTTCCTGCTTCCCAATAAATCAGCTCGAGGCTATCCTTTTCATAAATATATAAGGCTTCATTTCATATCATGAGGATCACGATAATAAGCCAAGACCGACACTAAGACTAAGACTAAAACAGCTTTTCTTGAGGGGCAAGATCGATTGATGTGTGCCCTACAAAATAAAGTTATATTGACTGAGCCATTCAATAAAAAGCTTCCGGGCGAAAATTCTCGCAAATCAATGATTTAAACGCACTTCCATTTGAGTGAGGTTAGGTGAGGAAGCTGGGGTGAGAGTTCAAGCCTGAGACTCGTCTCGTTGTCTAAGGCATTTTGCTGGTCTGATAATTGCACTGTGTTCTCACCCAGAAAAGCAACCTCTTCACGGCCTTCATCGTTCAAGTACACAGTGTGAACATACCATGATAAGCCCCACCACGAATGACGTCTACCAATGGTACTTGTTGCGCTTGGCAACTGTTTTAATTGATTGGGCAGGCAGCAGACGCGACTTTTTCTCGACGCGCCGTCCCGCTGTTGCATGAGGTACCGTACCTTACACCACAGCGATAAAGACCACCTTCTTTGAGAACACCCAACCGTCGGCAGGATAGTCAGTCTTGAATGCTGCCTCGAGGACCACATAGCTACCGACATGCCATAGGATGGACTCCCCTCGCAGTCGGGACTCGAGCGAGCCGGCCATCGACCCTGCGCATCCCTTCAAGGGCGTGGTTGTGTGCTGCACAAGCATCCCGCCAGACCAGCGAGTAAGTTGTGGTGATGCACACATTCATTCGCCCCTCTGTCTACCCTGATCCGACCTCCATGCTGCTCCCATAACCTCGCCATGAACCATCTTCTCACCTTCATATAGACACAAATAGCAACAAAGACTGAAGAACTCGGAGGCATCCACAAGTACGATCTAACTCCCGACGTGACACATCTTGTCGTAGGAGACTACGACACACCCAAATACCGACATGTCGCCAAAGAACGAACCGATATCAAGGTCATGGATGCCAAATGGATCGATACAGTAGGAGATCTATGGATGAAGGATGCCGATATTGACTTTGCCGCTCTCGAACGAGAGTGGCAGCTCAAGCCGCTGGAGACGTGCGGCCATGTGGTCGATGCAGCCGATTCTACTGAAGCTAAGCGCGGGAGTCTGTTGCTTTGTATGACTGGCTTCGACGATCGTAAGCAAAGTTGACTGGCGTTCTTTCCATTCTCAACCTGACCTTTCATAGCCGATCAACGCAACAGCATCATCGAGAAAATCACTTCCAACGGCGGCGCATATACGGGCGATCTAACAAAACGAGTCTCCCACTTGATCGTCCGAAAACCGGAAGGAAAGAAGTATAAGGCCGCCAGAGCATGGAATATCCGCACAGTATCGCTGCCCTGGCTCGAGCAGAGCATCGAGCGCGGCCTGATCCTCGACGAGCAGTGTTTCGATCCCGTCCTGCCGGCCGAGGAGCAAGGCCAGGGCGCCTGGAACAGAGTAACACCAAGGAAGGCGTCCGCAGGGAAAAGATCGAGATCAGGCGCGGGCGAGATTGGGCAGAGAAAGCTCAGGAAAACGGCCAGCATGAAGCTCGGCAGCCAGCGAGACATGCTTTGGGGAGATATCCTCGGTAACAAGCCTTCCGCCGAGTCCGCCGGGCCTGGTGATACGGCGGACAGGATTGAAGTTCAAGACTCTGGCATACACGATCGAATGGTCCAGTCTGCTCCTGACGCAGGTATATTCTCTGCATGCTCTTTCTTCATGTCTGGGTTCGAGCCATGGAAATCCAAAATTCTCGCAGACACCATAGTTTCCCTGGGGGGACAAGTTTGCGACTCCTTCCAAGAACTTTCCACCAAAGGCTATGAAGCGAGATCGACCCGCAGGCTTCTTATTGTCCCACAAGAATCCCAGCCGACAACGCACCTTCGGGTTCCGCCTGAGCACATCGACAAGATCCAAATAGTGACCGAGTTCTTCATCGAGCGATGCCTGCATAACAAAGCTTTTCGCGACCCAGACAACCATATTCTAGGTCGCCCGCTACCAGTATTCCCAATTCACGGCTTCAAGGATATCTCCATCTGCACGGCGGGGTTTAGTGGAATCGACCTGCTGCATGTGGAAAAGGCAATCACACAGATTGGTGCTCGGTTCGCATCACGGCTCAACGACACAACCTCGGTGCTGGTGTGTAGGGCGCTCGCGGAAACGAGGAAGGAGAAGCTGAAATTGGCCCTCGACAATAACATCCCGGCTGTCAGCTCGGAGTGGCTTTGGGAGTGCATGACAACAGGCTTCAATGTGCCAATCAAGGAGTTCATGTATCCTGAACTGGGCCAGCCTTCTAGTCTCCAGCCCAAGCCAAAGCCCAAGGAGACAACTAGGGAGGATATGAAGCAGGCTTTCCAAAGGACAAGGTCTGAGCCTGTGCCTCAAGCTTCGAGAAAGCCAGCGGCAAGGCACTCTACAGTCGTGGGTGGAATCGACACAACAGCCTTCCTAGACGATGAAGGTCGGCAGAAACCTGCTACATTAACTGCGAAGGTTCCAGCCGTGAGAGAGACTTCGTCGGCAGCCTTTGCACATCGCGAGACAACGATTGCAAAGGCTGAGTCAGCCGCCTCCCTCCAGTTCCAGACAGCCAAGACGCACCAGGCAGACAGTTTTGGTGCTGGGACAGTGCTACCGTCATTGACAGACGCAACGCCCAGCGACTTGAAGGCGGAGCAGCCAGTGAGGCAACCTGTGGGACTGGCCAGAACCACGAGCGTAGCCGAC